TCTTCTGAGATGTTGGATTATACAATCGGTATGCTTTTGACTCTTCACTTACTCCAAACATGACACACTTTATGCTTTTGTCATCAAGCTTTGTTCTTCCTTTGTCCGGAATGTGAACATGAGCGACACAACCAAAGACCCTAAAGTAATCAACTGACGGCTTGAGTCCACTCCACGCTTCTTCTGGGGTAATATTCTTCACAGCCAATGTTGGACTTCGATTGAGCACATGTACACTCCAATTGACTGCTTCGGGCCAAAAAATCTTGGGGACTTTCTTCTCAGCAAGCATGCTTCGTACCATGTTCATGATTGTACGATTCTTTCTCTCCGCCACGCCATTTTGTTGCGGGGTGTAAGCTGCTGTCAATTGTCTACGAATACCATGTAATTCACAAAAATTAGTGAATTCTTGTGAGGTAAACTCACCCCCACGATCAGTACGAAGGCATTTTATGTATGCACCAATTTCTTTCTCAACACGACTCTTGTACTTTTTGAATGTGGCAAATGCATCAGACTTCTCTACCAAAAAATAAACCCAAGTCTTACGACTAAAGTCATCAATGAAAGTAATCAAGTACCTTTTTCTACTGTTAGAGATTGGGTTTATTGGTCCGCATATGTCGGCATGGACTAGCTGAAGAACTTCACTGGCTCTCCATCTGCTTTCTTGTGGGAATGGATCTCTATGTTGTTTTCCAATCATGCAGTCTTCACATGTCTTTGAAGGATCCTTGAGTGAAGGTAGTCCCGTCACCATTTTCTTTTGTTGGAGGGTTGCTAGACCACTATAGCTCAAGTGCCCATATCTGCAATGCCAAAGCTTAGTTGCTTCTTCTGTGTGAGTGTTGAAGCATGTGTGTTCACTAGGTGCTGCTTGTGAAGTTAAAGTAAACATCCTGTTGGTAGTCATTGGTGCCTCCACAAGCAAACCTCTCTCAGGATGAAAGATTTTGCACTTGCCATGTTTGATGATTATAGTCAACCCCTTCTCTTGTAGTTGACCGATGCTAATCAAATTGTTCTGCAATTCTGGTACATAGAATACACTTGTGATGACTTGAAAAATACCATTGGCTTGAATGCGGATGTTACCCTTCCCCATGACTGCAATACTTGCATTGTTTCCCAACCTGACTGATTGTCGAAAACTTTCATCAATCTCAATGAAAAGCTCATTTTTGCTGCACATGTGATTGCTACAACCTGAGTCCAAAAACCAAGTTTCTTCTATGCTGTTTTTCTTGAGCTCCACGTATGCCATCAACACCATCTCTTCTTCAGTCTCCGCATAATTCGTTGCACCATCTTTCTCCCTCTTGGGACATTCATATCGAAAGTGTCCAAGTTCATGACAATGATAGCACTCGATGGTTGACTTGTCGAAGGAGCCTTGTCGCCCCCTCCCTCGTCCTCTTCCTCTAAAAACACCACGACCTCTACCTCTCCCTGTTGGAGTCTCATCATGTGTGACCTTCAAAGCCTGTTCTTCCACAACATGGCCTATCATTCGTGATTCATGCACCTTTAAGCTACTTTGCAATTCATCAATGGACATATTGTCAATGTCCTTTGATTCTTCAATGGAGCAAACGACATAGTCGAATCGTGAAGTCATAGACCTCAGGATTTTCTCAATAACAACAACATCACCCATAAGCTCACCATGAAACCTCATCTTGTTGGCCACGGTGAGGGTTCTAGCAAAATATTCATCAACCGACTCTCCTACCTTCATTTGAAGAATTTCAAATTCCTTACGAAGAGCTTGGCGTTGAGCACGCTTCACCCTAGCTGTCCCTTGATACTTCGTCTTGAGAGAGTCCCAAATATCCTTTGCTGTATCCTTCTTCAGAATGGTCTCCAGGATGGAGCGATCAATGGCTTGAAATAGATAATTCTTGGTTTTTAAGTCTTTCAACCTTTGATCCTCCAGCACCTTGGTCTGTGCAGCAGTGGGAACTGCATCTTCAGCCGGTTCAGAAATCCCAGTCTCCACCAAGGTCCAGTACTCCTTTGAACGAAGGAAGTTTTCCATGAGCATGCTCCAATGGTCATAGTGACCATCAAAGCGTGGGATTGCCGGCTGCACAAAACTATTCTCGGATGCCATCTCGCTTTTGCTGCTGCAAACAAGAAGACTGCTGCTTCTTCTTTCCTCAAGCCCCAGTGGGGGCTCTGATACCAATTGTTAAGAATTAGATTTCTGAATTGTATGAAAGTTGAGAGAATGATCTTAATCAAATTGAAAGATAACGTTGGCTCTTAAATAGCCTTACAAGTGAAGCAAAACACAAAAGAACATCCCACGTCTAACATCCCACGTCTAACACATCCTAAGAACGTGGTGTAATCCTAACAGACTAAGTCAACAAAAGCAACGTGTCCCTTATCAAAAAGGATTACTAACAAACAGCAACAACTCAAACAATTAAACTCTAATAAACAAAACAACTAACAACTTTTATCAAAACCGGCGGATTTTCTATCGCTTAAATAACTACCAAAACGCATAAATTTCTCAAATCTAACCCAACCAGCAGCTAGAACAGCTCGAGAGGTTCAAGATCCCCCAAACTTTTCTTTTGCTGCTGCGAGCTTGGCCTGAACTCACCCCGACAAAACGAAAAGGCAAAAGTAAATGTAATATCACAACATCAGGTAAAGAAGGAACCATCTAATGTTCAAATTAGAATAATCTCAATTCCAAAATTGGTACTTGGTACTTTCACCCTCCACACTCATATGACGGAATGAATAGCGGTGGTTTGTACCAATGATTAGTATATACTAACACAGTTATTACAATCTGTACTTGTGATTTTGTATTTAGTTACAAAGCTACTACGCACTGACTTCATTGAAGATTTGAAGTACAAGAAGCACATAAAGCACTTGCTCGGAATTGCAATGGGAACCAACAAAAACCAAAAATACCAAAACCTTGGCTGCACCAAATTCAACTCTTGTCCTTTTTAGTCTGTTGATGAGAAGTATTAATTTCCACAGAACCTCAAGCATAGGATTACACAGAATCTTGTTCTTGTAGTTGCAAAAAATAAAAATAAAAAGAAACATAAAAGAAACCAGGGAAGTTGCACTAGACCCACAACTTAGAAATAGGCAACGATCACTAATCGAAAATTAAAGCTCAAATGATCCATTATATACAAAACCCAGATCGACCCAGTAGCAAAACGAATACCAAGAGAGTGAAATCAAGAAAATATATATACTCGTGATTGAAAAGGCAGGGACTTGGGTATAAACCTTAGCTTCTTCAGCTTCCATGGGATCAATATTGGTGAACCTCCTTCGTTTCAAGGAAAATTGAGAAGAAACATCAACGATCATCAGCGACACTCCAAGAAATCCCAGAAGCAAAGAGACAGAGGGATCCGATAAGAAAGTTCTCTCTGTGTATAATATAGGTTCGCCGTTTGCGGTGTGACTTGTATTTTAATACGTATGACAGAACACTGCTATTCCTTTCCTCTTTGGGAGGCCTTCCTACAAAATACAGAGTAAGTTTGCAAGAGTAAAACAGTAAACTTTTCCAAATTACCGCTGTAAAATGTTCCAAAATACTGCCAGCACAACATCTTCTGGGCCTGCAAGCCTGTGGTCTTGTGGGCTTAAAATCTAGTAAAGGTTTAACTATTTGAGCCCTTGGAAATTGCTTTTATGCAAAGCCGATTTTGCCTAAATCTTTTATTGGGCTTTTGGGACAAATGTGCTTGATTATATTTAGCTGCATGTAAGCAGGCACATTTAATTTAAATTGGGTGGCCTGCTTTAGGCATCATTATGCTGGAAAAAAAAGCAAAAAGATTCATCAACTATTAAAAAGCTTTGGGATGAATCACTTCTTCACTACACACCAATGTGGTTTGTCGCTCACCAAACTTTTCTTTTTATCATATAAACCTTTACCTTTACTCATTCCTTTGTCTTCAATGAAGCCATCTCTTATTTCGGGATAAGTTAGCATTCAAGCTAAGCAAAACATGCAATCAAAGTCAATCCCAAAAGCATCATAAATCATTTAGTGTTATTAATTCCTCCCCCCCTTCAATTAAGCTAATCACCTATCTCTTCATTTGATGGTACTAATTAGGGCAAAGTTTTTTTATTTATATTTTAAATAAGCGATAAGTATATTATTGATGAGTAAACAAAAATACAAAGCAACTATATGTCGAATATGGGTAAATCTTCTCCAAAGACCAAATTCAACAAAAGTGTCGAGTCTTACAAAACTACATAATTTCTTTCACAATTAAAAAAAAAGGACTTTTGCAAGGGGTTTGTAGCTCAAACAATTAATAACATTAACCCATGCACTCAATGTTCTAGGTTCGATTTCCCCCTCCCCAATATCGCTTATTTTTAAAAATAAAATAAAAAAAGACTTTCTTTTGGAGATCCTATTGAACCACTAGCACCTTACTTAGTCAACTCAATCAAAAACAAGGTCAATCCTATCAAGCTATTGTATATTGGAGTTAATTGATCATCCGACCACTAAACCTGTTTGTGGAATTATTTCGGCTCATTAACTTATGTCCTGTGTATGACCTTACATTTTACCATCAATTTAGCAATTAATACGTATATTCTCATGTGCATGCCTATTTTATTTATTTATTAAAGTTATCAACCAAAACAAAAAATCAATTTATTGAGATTGAAACAAAAAGAAAATCCAATAAGGTGTCAGTAAGTACATAGCTTACAGTGGTCCGGCGGAGCATGCTATCATCCTCACCAAACAACCAGATGACGACACCTAACGATTTGACGGTGGCCGGCAATAGTTTCATTTCATTAGCCCACGTCAGCACCTTTCAAATTCCTCAACCGGCTACGTGACTACTTTACCGTTCCTCCGGGCCCATCAAACGGCATAATAAAACACAAAGCCACTACAGCAAATCATTTATAAATTTTTTTAAAAAATGAATTCTTAAACAAAAGTCCCTGCACATTTCCATATTAGAAAATTAACCCCAACTTATTCAAACTGAGACGCATTTCTCAATCAGAAAACTTCCTCAGGGACCTGCATTTCAAAAACCTTCCGATCAAAACAAAGGCAAAAGTAACCAAAAAAAAAAATCAAAAAGAAAAAAGGGAAGAAACAGAACCGGAGGCAGAGAGAAGCAAAAAAGCGAAACAGAGAAGGAGAGAGAGAGAGGGGTAGGGGTTCAGGTTTGTGGGTTTGTTGGTGATGACTATGGACAGAGAGAAGGAGAGAGAGATAGAGCTAGAGAGTGCAATGTACACTAACTGTTTGCTATTAGGGTTGGATCCGGCCATTATCGGACTCGGAGGCTCCAATGCCACTCCTCGGGTCGGATTCTTCCGCCACTCTAACCCTAAATTGGGCGAACAGCTGCTCTACTTCATTCTCTCTTCTCTCAGAGGCCCAATTCAATCCGCCAAGGTACAATCTCGATTTCCTTCCCTGTATGCTCCACCCATATTTACACTGATGATACATATACATATATTTCAAATTCAATTTCTTTGCATATTTGTCTTTGTTTTACTGTCTTCCACTTTGCATCATGTCCCTAACGTTTTGAGATCTTTCAGGATTTCGATAAAGTCTGGCCAATTTTCGATTCCGCTCAATCGCGGGATTTTCGAAAGGTAAATTCGACTATTCCACTTTTTTTTGGTGCTTCTAGTTTTAATTTTCTTTTCTTTTAATCATTGGGATGAGATGATTTATTGGTGGATTTTATTTTTATTTTTTATGATTAGGTTGTGCAAGGGATCATTAGTGAGCTCGAATCGCAAGGGGCGCTTCCTAGGAGCAATTCGAGGGTTTCATCACTTGCTACATGTTGCGGACCCAGGTTGGTTGATGATACTACTCGTTGATTTTATCCGCATTTTTTTAATGTACAATTTTTTGCCTTTAATTTTGAACTTTAAATGTGGAATTGGGCTTGATTGGTGAGAAAATTGACAAAGATACGAAATTCACATATAAACCATAATGTTGTTTGCTTTCTTAGTTTGACCGAGGTTCATAGTTTTGTTGGGCTCACTTCCCTTTTGCATTTAAGTGAGAAACAATTTGCCAAACTAATGTAAAAAAAATGTAGTTATATTTAACAGTGAACTTGTTTTCCGCCCAATCAGCCAATGGATGATATTAAAATTAATGCTTTCTGCTTAAATGTTGTTGAAGTTCCTCTTAGGGCTTGTTTGGGAGTAATTCTGGATAGGCCGATAATCACTTCTATGTGCTTCTCCACAAAATCCCTTAAAATCACTTAAAGTGATTATATGGAGAATCACGTGGGAGGTGCTTCTCCCCGTAAGTGATTCTGTCCTTCCGAAAATCATTCCCAAACAAGCCCTTAATTGAAATGACTATATCTTGTGTAGACTCATGGTTTACAATTTTATGGGTTTGGGTCTTTATGATTGCAATTATGGCTGGTAAATCATAAGCTTCATGTGTTGACTGCAGGTTTGTAGAACTTCTGTGGCAACTTTCTTTGCATGCTTTGCGAGAGGTTCATAGGCGAACATTTTCAGCTGATGTAGCTTCTAACCCACTTCCGGCATCATTGACGGATGTAGCCTTTTCACATGCAGCTACTTTACTTCCTGTTACTAAGGTAGGCTTGACCTACACTTACAATATTAAAGCATGCATAAGTTCTATTACCGATGACTTTTGAAATTGGGTTCCCAAATTATGATATTATTAGCTATTGGCATGTCCATAGAGTTTTTCCTTTCGATAAAATTCTTAGATGAGTTTTCAGGGTTTAATGAAAATCTGCATTTTTCTGTGTGAGTTTTCTTCTTTAGACTGCTTAGTTGACCTTCTTCAATAACAGTTATTTGAGCTCATTATCTTGTACAGGCTAGAATAGCACTTGAACGAAGAAGGTTTATTAAGAATGCGGAAACAGCAGTACAGAGACAGGCTATGTGGTCCAATTTGGCTCATGAGATGACTGCGGAGTTTCGTGGTCTTTGTGCTGAAGAGGTATAGGGGTAACTCACATGTCGACGAGCAACTTTTTGTAGTGGAAGCTTACTGGAAATTTTTAGAAATTTTCAGTTCACCTACAACTTTACAATTTGTATTCTGACGCATGTCTCTCTGTAAAACATGAATCTCAGGCTTATTTACAGCAAGAGCTGGAAAAGTTACATGACCTTAGGAACAAAGTGAAGTTGGAAGGGGAACACTGGGATGACCTTGTTTCTAGTTCGAGTCAGAATTCCCATTTAGTATCCAAGGCTACTCGTTTGTGGGAGTCTATATTAGCCCGTAAAAGTGAGTACAAATCTTCATGGTTCCTTTATCAATTTCATAGGTTTTATGTGTTATCAAATTGTGTAACATGATCACCATTATGTGTAGGTCAACATGAAGTTCTTGCTTCAGGCCCTATTGAGGATTTAATAGCTCACAGGGAGCATAGGTAATCTACCATCAGGTATCATTTTGACATCACTGGAGGCAATCACCAACTCACCTTTGCATGCAACTCTTTCTAGGTACCGCATCTCTGGATCTTCTTTGCTTGCGGCTATGGATCAGAGTTCTCAGGTTCCTTATGGAGATGTCTTATCTGTCCAATCTGGTGATTTTAATCCAACACATGTGGATGACAAAGAAAAAAATGATGGATCGTATGTCAATGTTAATAGAGAAAAGATGAAGAGCAATTCAGATTCATCCCATTCACAAGTAAATGATGAAGCACTTCATCGAGCAGATGAAAGAAGTGGAAGAGTCCACCCAACAGTTGACGTGGCAGAAATTATAAGGCGTTGGACACATGCTTTACAGCGTATTCATAAACAGTCACTTCATATGGTATGCTACTTTGTATATGCTCATGATATTGTTGGATAAAAGTTTAGAAAAACTTAGTGAATTGGTGTTATACAATGGTAATTTGTAGGCAAAAGCTAACGAGGGAGAGGGTCCAGAAATTTTAAGAAGTGCACATGATGGCAGTTCAAGTGGTCATGCTGAGTCTTTAGCTGCAACTCTTGCTGAACATCAGCAACACTTGGTTAGCTTTCAGGTAATACTTATGGTTTAAAAGTACCAGTTAGATCTGAAGTGCTACCAGCGTCCCGGTTTCAACTTCAAGTAGAACCAATTCGTATATAATATATATTGATGGTGTATTTGTACATTTCATGGGTGTTTAAATTCCATGGAAATATTTATCATTCTTCCTTATAAAGTTATACCATGTAATCAGGGGACAAGGGAGTCTTGTAATAAATACAGACCTTCCTAGTTGATCCAAAGATATGAAGACTTGTATTATTTAGAGAGCTTTTTGATATTGCAGTTTTCCTTATAGCGACCAAAGTATTAGAATTGTTTGATACTGCATTAGAATCAACCGTTTTTTGGGTGAACCAGGACTGTTTGAGAATAAGGGGTCAATTTCTCCAATTGCTCTTTGACCCATCCCAGAATAAATGTGTTATTTGAGCAGTCTGTTGTTTAAGCGAATCAATTAATACTCTGACATTCCTTCAAATATAACCTCAATGAAGTATGTTGATTTGAGCTTTTCTGTTGGTAGGAAGGTGGGGTAATGTGGGATAGTGAATGTTAAAATGCTTGGATTTCTATTACTGAATAGACGTCATATGACTGTCAATAAAAGTGAGATGATTCATGCACATGCCTTTCTTGAATGCCCCTTATCTCTCATGCATAATATATTTGTCATGACTATGCTTTCCTGATTCTATGCTGAGATTTTCCAATTCATAACTTCTGTAGGTTCTCATTAATCAACTGAAGGAAGTTGCTCCGGCAATACAAAAGTCAATATCAGAATGTACAGATAAAGTAGATAGCATTTCCTCTAGTCTGCCTCCAATGACCAAACATCCTGGTCGCTCAACCTCACCTATTCAAGCACAGAGCAGTGGAAGGGCATTGGTAATACACCACACCTTTTTTATGCAAAACTTAATATCTACTAAAACCTGTCTCACCTTGAATTACCGCAGTCTACAAGTGATATACTGGTCTTTTTTTCCTTTGTAATAATTCAGGAAAGCAACACTGATGATGTGGCTGAGGTGACTTCAAAATTGTCTACCTTTCAGCTTGAAAAGGTGTCAGCTAGCCCTACTTTAAAGCTCCCACAGTTGTTTACCTTGACTCCTAACTCTTCTGGGAAAGGTGCAAGTATGAATAAGCGCCCTGCTTCAGCTTCTCAAACAAATCAAATAGAGAACTTTTCTGAAAGGAAATCTGTGGAGCAGCCTATATCAAATAATCACATAGATAATCTACCACAAGGTCTGCTGTGTGTGCCTTGCTTCTCAAATTCTCATTGCATTATAAGCGTGTTGTCTTGCTCAAGGCATTTCAAATTATATGTGGATTGGGAATTGGTTTTTGATTTTTAGTTTCATGTTATGCAGATAGTGATAATTATTTTGTCCAGAATCTAAAGAGATCTGTCAGAGAAGCTGCTCTGTCACGGAACTCCTTAAATTCCGAATCATCACGAGGCAGCCATTCTGATGAAAGCTCTGAGCATTTCTTTTTACCTCTTTCCTCATCTGGGTTTTCTCATCAAGGCCAAGAATCTAAAGGGGTTTCCTTGAGGAGTAAAAGGTTTGCATCTCAGACAGAGGCTTCCTTGCTTGAAAATCGTGCTTCTGATGGTCATATGGAGAGCAAATACGCTGAATTGTCTCAAGTTTTGAATGGTTTAGATTCACTTGATGATTATGATCAAGTAAATGGGTTTCTTTCGGCTACGGGTTCAAACTGTGCTGCTTCGGACACACAAAGATCATTTTATGACTTCGAGGAAGCTCAGGAGCAGGTTTTCTCGCCTCCTTTGCTAATGGACTCATCACTGTTAGCGGATTATGAGGACTTGCTTGGTATGTTGCTCCAGCCACTACTATTTCTGTTTGTAGGCTGTTATATGTACAGATTGTTATCGGTGGATGACTTTATTTTGTTATTAAGTGCCTTTGTAGTTCCAAGTAAATGGTTCATCTCTGATGGTTCAGGCACTAGATTTTCTAGTTTATATCGTTTACCCTTGGGGATATTAGCAGTGAGGTCAATCACCACACGACTTCTATCATGCATACAAGATGGTTTATATCACAACTCACAGACACACACAAGGACACATTGAGAGAAGTTTGTTTAAACTGCAATGCTCTTTTTGTCTCCTTTAGTTTCTTCCCATTGAGAGAATTTTTCTTTACTCTTTTTGCAGCGCCACTTTCAGAAACTGATACAGCATTAATGGAGCACTGACATTGAATATTGAGCAACCTTAATTTTTGATTGAGGAGATATTTGGTCGCTGTGATGGTTTTGGTTCCATTTCTCGGGACACTTTCCACTTCCCAAGTAATTGTTGACATGCTTGTATGATTTATTTGATGTTCTGTACATTTTCACCCTCCAGCTCAGCACAGTGTTTGGAGGGAACTATGAACCTGCTAGCAGTGCTGTTGTACATGCATGACAAATGCTCGGAGATGATTGTATTGTGTTGAAACTCCAACCTGGATCTTAGAACCCTAAAATCCAAAGCCCCAACCTGATTGTATCATGCTGCAGACAAATTATATGGGGGTGATTTTGTCCACGGATGCTACAAAAACTACCTCATCTGATTGCTTGGTGGGTATAAGTTAAAAAGAGGGTGAATCACGCACGTGCAGTTCTTATTAGCCCGAAGGTGTGCATCAATACTTCTTTCTTTGAGTATCAAGTTTCAGTTACCTGACAAGATTGATTGTTGGTCTGATTTATATGTATCTGATTAATCTGACATAAATGTAAGTTGCTGAAACAACAGAATTGAGAAATTGTTGTTGAACCATAGGATAACTTTTTTTTTCTTCTTCATTATTCTTTCAGTAGGGTATATTTCTGTTAAAATGCTGGAATTGTGAGTATCAAGTTAGTCCATTTTGTCTTCTTTCTTGGCCTTCTTAATATGTGTCATTTCACTTTTTTATTTGTGGAGGAAACTGGTTGCCTGCTTGGCGGGGTGGCGGTGGGCAACAAGTAGTGACCCCTGTTGAGACAGAAACGAAAGAAAAAAGCTTCACCTATGAATTATGATCATTAATGAGCTCATCTAGTATCACCCAAATCCATTTAAGAAACTATTCACAACTCCATTTAAGAGTGTCCGCAAACGGCACCGTTTCTGCGGGAAAAAGTCTCAGAAGCGCTTAATGGATTCAAGCCCAAAGCTAGCTCATTAAGATACGAGCAAAAGCTTCGACGTCGGCCCTCGGTTAGAGTGTACAGGGACATCTCATACTGCTTTGCCAAATGCTAAACGTTGTGATGAAATTTAAAAAAAAACATAGTATTTTGCGCAAATACCATTTCAACCTTTCCCTTTCCTCCCCAAAGACTTTGTCCAAGCCAAAGTAGATTGGAAGGTTAATTTGGTCAAATGGGATCTCTCTCGACTCTCGTCGTCTGGAGTGAATCAAAGCGAGGAACAGTTTTTGAGGTTGAAAATTGAAATTCATGAGGAAGTTAAAAAGAAATAAACAAATATCAAATTTTCACAATAATTATGCTTTTTGTTTTCTTTCTTTTTAATCAACCATAATATTATTATTATACTCTTCGAGTGCAAAAGATAATGGTGTATCGTCATGTATGTATGTATTATCAAATTATCAATTACAATAATTACAGTTTCAGCTAACAAAAAAAGAACGAAGGAAATCATCCAACAACAACAACAGCTTACAGCCGCCAAAGATTGCTGTTCTTCAACACCCCCCCACCCACCTTTTCTATTTCTCTCTATCTCAAAAGAAACAAGAAGCACCAGCTCAACTTTCTCTGTAAGTATCCACAAACATTCATTATTTTATCCATAATTTGCTCTCCATTGCATGTTTCCAGCTAAAATTTCCCAGAGACTCAGTCCTGTATATTATTATGTAATAACTTTTCGTATTTTGGATTTGCAAATTTTGCATGTTAAACTTGTTGGAGAATGCCAAATGGGTTTTTCCTTTTCGAATAGATCATACCCGGATCTTGTTCTCTTCTGATCCAGCTGAATTGCTTGTCAATCTTGGTGAAGAGAGGCAAACATTCAGTATGTTTTTCGTTTTTTGTTTGGGTTAAGCTCAAGTCAAACTTTCTAATCTTAGATACAAATTTGATGGTTTTCTACATCTGGGTTTCCCGATATAGGTCTCGATGTTTACTTTTACCTAAGCAAACAACGGATTTTGCTTTGGGTAATGGATCAGAGATCAGAAGTTAAGCAAGCTGCGGTTTTTGCATTGTTTAGTTTATTAGAAATTTCCAATTTTTTGTATTCTGTTTAATTTTCAGCTCGGAATGGCTTTATATGCAGCTTTCTTTTCATTTTCCGTGGGTGTGATATCTCTGCCCCGGATTTCCCCAGTTGGCTCAGAACGTTTCTTTCTAATAAGGGGAAAGTCCCCTGTCTTTACCAAGGAAGAACACAAGAAGCTTATAGCCCGGGTTTTTGCTTCATTGCACTGAAATTTGGTTTAATAATTCTGGGCTTTTCTTCCCTAATTGGAATTGTGTCTCTCCTCTATCACTGATGCTGTAGTTGCTCTATAAGTTTGATTTATCACTGTGCTCTGACGTGCACAAAGAAGGGCTTCTTTTGTCATTTAAGTTATGATCAAACAGATACTTAATAGGCTCCCGAGGAAGCCCTCTAAGTCAGCTGAAAATCGTGAAGGAGGATCTTCTAACTCTTCTTCAAATGCTTCCACCAGTTCAAGAAGCGGCTCTTTAGCAAGTAGCAGATATGTGAATTCGGGTACTTCATCTCTTTCGGGCCCTAATTCTACTCCAAATTTTGGAGTAAACGTGAATTCAAAGCTTAATGGGAACTCATTGGCTTCTCCATATGAGGCATTGCCTAGTTTCAAAGATGTTCCAAATGCAGAGAAGCAGAACTTATTCATAAAAAAGTTGAACTTGTGTTGTGTTATCTTTGACTTCAGTGACCCAACAAAGAACCTCAAGGAAAAGGACATCAAGCGACAGACATTGGTAGAGCTTGTGGATTACATTGCTTCTGCTAATGGGAAATTCTCAGAAACCGTCATGCAAGAAATTGTAAAGATGGTGTGCGTAAATTTATTTAGAACACTCACTTCTCCACCCCTTGAAAACAAAGCTTTAGAGGCCTTTGACTTAGAAGAGGAAGAGCCCTCAATGGACCCAGCATGGCCACACTTGCAAGTTGTGTATGAATTCTTCCTGAGGTTTGTGGCATCACCTGAGACGGATGCAAAGTTGGCTAAGAGGTACATTGACCACTCTTTTGTTCTCAGGTTGTTAGGTCTTTTTGATTCAGAGGACCATAGAGAGAGGGATTACTTGAAAACGGTTCTGCACCGCATCTATGGGAAATTTATGGTGCACCGCCCATTCATCAGGAAAGCTATCAACAACATCTTCTATCATTTTATTTTTGAAACTGAAAAGCATAATGGGATTGCAGAGCTGTTGGAGATTTTGGGAAGTATAATAAACGGTTTTGCTCTGCCACTGAAAGAAGAGCACAAACTCTTTCTTGTTCGAGTGCTTATTCCACTTCACAAACCCAAATGCATACCCTTGTACCACCAGCAGTTATCTTACTGCATTACCCAATTTGTGGAGAAAGACTGCAAACTTGCGGATACAATAATCCGTGGTTTACTAAAATATTGGCCTATTACAAATAGTTCAAAGGAGGTCATGTTCTTAGGGGAGCTGGAAGAAGTTCTAGAAGCAACTCAGCCTGCAGAATTTCAACGCTGTATGGTACCTTTGTTTCGCCAAATTGGCCGATGCTTGAGCAGTTCACATTTTCAGGTGGTAGTTCACCACTTTCATCTGTTTTCTACTTGCTAGTTTCCTCTATTCTGTAGAGTCCTGTGTAAATCTTTATAATGTGAGAGGTAGTGATGAGCAGTAGTAGTATGTCCGTTGAGTTATATGAACTTGTTGTGGGTGGTCAAATACTGAGCTTTCTGGAATGTTTGTTCGTGTAGTTTGTATTACACATAGTTTTCTTTTGGAGCCGATATAGCGATTATATTATGATGGAAAAAAGTGATATTTGACTAACTTTTATTGGTATATTTCTTCACCATAGGCATTTCAAAATTTGAAACCTTAGATCTTAAGATGCTGGTTTGAGTTGTTCTCTGGCAGTACCCGCATTTAGTCTATTCTGGAGTCTATTAAGTTTCTCAGATTAGTTACTGAAACCCATAGAGCAAATGAAAAAGACTTCTTGGTTAGTTTTGTGTCCTACTTTGAAAGGCAATTTCTGGTCATAGCTAAGTCAGTTATGAATGATCTCAAGCCTTTTGTACATAGAAGGAAAAAAGTTATGTGAAATGTATGGAATAAGAAATAGATATTTGCCTTAATTTACTTTTCTACTTTAATGATTTCAATAAATGCGTTCTTCTCATGTATCCAGTTGGCCCTTAATTTGCAGGTGGCAGAGAGAGCTTTGTTCTTATGGAATAATGATCACATTGCCAACCTAATCAAACAGAACCGCAGTGTCTTACTGCCAATCATATTCCCTTCATTGGAGAAAAATGCAAGAAACCACTGGAACCAGGCAGTACAGAGCCTGACTCTAAATGTCCGGAAGATTTTCTCTGATATTGACCCTGAGCTTTTTGAGGAATGCCTGCTCAAATTTCAGGAAGATGAAGTACAAGAGAAGGAACTTAATTTGAGACGTGAAATCACTTGGAAGCGTTTGGAAGAGATTGCTGCCAAGAAAGCTACAAGCAATGAAGCAGTGCTTGTGTCCCCCAGAAAAGCCACCGGCAAACCTTCTGGCTAGCAAGTTTGAGATTCCCTACAATGTGATTACAGTGATTTTGATATTCAAATCATTACGCAGTCCATAGACTGACATTGCTGTATAAGTTCTGAGATATCAATCTTCTTCTTGTTGGTTCCTCCGCTCTTCCTGGTGAAATTTCGGGTTGTCAGGTGATCAAGTCACAGCACAGAGCATGCATGAATGGCTCAATCTGGAATACAATTGGCCCCCTTTTGGTTTACCATGTGGGGGTGTGGGCTGTATATATTTGATTTGGTGTAGAAGAACAAAGGGGTGACCCTGCCACACAGCCACAGCATGGTGTTGGAGGTGTGGTGAGTAAAGCTGGTCTCTTTGTCATGGGGTTTTAAAGTTTACAAAAAAAAAAAAAAAAAGGCTTGAAATTGACATGGCTCTGTGGTTACATAATTTTGGATGATTTGGTTTAATAGAGACATCATGTCCTCAATCTTCAATTACTTGTATTGTATGTATCATCATCATCATCATCATCAAACTATGTTGCTTTTGTGAATGGATCAATCCCTATACCACCTTCAATTTCAGAGTTAAGTCAGAGTTGATGTTTCATTGTCTCTGCAACAGCAAATGGCCATCCAACAATGACAAGTTCAGGCATTAGGCTTTGGGCCTAGCCAAAGCCTGGAAGACATCTGAATGTGTTAATCTTTCAAGTATGGACTTGAGCTGAGTTGGGCTGGCCACCTTGTTTCCACCTAATCGAAACAATAATTGAGCATTATTAATGATGGCCTACCTGTTGCTGACGAGGATATACTCTAATTGGTCCAGCTATACACATGAACAAAAAAATAATGAATATAATGATAGAAAAATCTGACTAATAAATTCCGACCACTAAACTCATTGAATTTACCCATAACATGATGCAGTGCAAGAAGAAAAGGAAAGTAACCTTATCTTCGTATTCATAGTCCAGCCATGATTATCCAAATGTTTACTTTACTAATAAAGGGGTCATCTTATACAAAACTTCGGGTAACTGTTATTAACCACTTTGAATTATAAGCTTGTAAAAATGCACCAAATACTTAACCAAGTATACTATTCATTAATTCAGAAATTCATTTTCACCTTTCAATTGAATACTACATAAAATTAAAAAGATAGATTTTTAAAGATCTTATGGTCTTGATATTAGTATCAAATCAATGAAGACATAAAGTTAAACCGGATGCGTATTAAATTCCAGTGACTTTATTAAACTCATTTTCACGTAAGGAATTAAAAGTTATTAAACAAAAGCTAATTAAGAAAGGAAAGGAGTTTAATCGAATTAAGCTTCTGCAAATTTGCTTAAATGTAATGGGGATTGTAAATACAGAGCTATAATAAATGTAATATTAATGAGGCAAGCAATGGCGGACCCAGGAATTTTTATAGGGGTAGGCTAAATATATATATATATTTTTTTATAGAGGAGATATATTATAAGACTTTTTTTTTCTCTTGAAACAAAAATGTAAATAAAATTTTATAAATCAAACATGGCCACATTACAAGCAAATATAACATAAAGAAGTACAAAATATAAATAAATACTAAATCAAATACATTGTCCAACTTAAAAAAATCATATATGCTAATTAATAATTCAAGTTGCAAAAATAAAATATATATCAACAATCTCCAAAAGTTTTCACCCTAACCCTAAATCATAAAAACTTAACAACAACAATTAAAATTGGAAATTGAATATATATAAAATAAAAAAACTTACCACGATTGAAGAACCTATTAAAGATAGGTTGGTAAATTTTTTAGAGGAGGAGAGCTATTTCCTCTTGGCTCTCAAGATTCAAATATGGCGTTTTGGGTGGCTAGGAAGAAATTTTTTTATGTTTGCTCTCTGTGGGTGTAGCCACTGGCGAACCCAGAAATTTTTTAGCGGAGGTGCAATATTGACTAAGTATGAAAAATAGTTTTTCGGAATACTCATTTTCTAAAGATAATTTTTGGCGGCTTTTATTCCTTACACATCAAATAAGAAAACTTGATTTTATGGGATTTTAATATGAAGTATATATTGACTTAATGAGCCATCATTTTTAGCCTAAATCGTATTTTGCACTAAAACTGATTTTTCATATTTTGATTTGGTGAGAATTTGATTTTCTAGTATTTTTATTTGAATCCAAATGGGGGGTACTTCCTTATTTACATTGTAAACTTAAGTAAATGGAGTAATATAAAAATAAATGAAAGTAAAATGACAAAGACATTTACTTAAATATTGAAAATGAAAATAAGGTAATCTGCGGACCAGTTGAGTAAAGGGGCAATTTGAAGCACTTACAATGATTTTTCCGGTGAATTTATATAGGTTTGGATTGATGTTATTATTTCCTATATGCTTTAGGAGTGGGCTAATATTTATTAGAGTACAAATAAAGCTTATAACATTTAAACCATGTTTAATACTTTATAAATCTTCCCCTAGGCTGGAGCCCACTCTAGCCTAAGCTTAGGTCCGCCCTTGGAGGCAAGTATAATTTTGTGTTAATTAGTACATTTTTAATACGTGATTAAGAAATGGTTTCATAATGTGCATTTGTGCAGAAAGAAAAAAAAAACATGATATCATGATCATCGATATGATTTGGTTTCATTCCCGTTTCCGAAGCAGACCTGTCGTCCGCCACCCACAATCCGTAGATGATCCACTGCATGCAGCCCTATCATTCCAGTGCTACACCTTTACCGGTTATCACTGACCTCGAATAATCTGTCTTTATTTGATTGTACTCAACAGTCCAACTCCTCAAGCGTACAACTTAAAGTGACAGAAAGTACCTGATTGCATAAAAACGAGCGACAGATGATAATAGCTCTTCTTACTACAGCCACCCCATTTCCTTTTTTTTTTTCTTTGAATTTATTTTTAAGGTAACAAGACAACAATTGAATCTAGAATTTTCCTTTTAAAAAATCAGAAAGAAAAAATGACAAAAAATTTGAACAAGCCACAAGAGACAGCGTAAAGTTGCATGTGTGTCCCTCAAACACCTGCCTCTCTTCTCGCTCTAATCTCTCTCCCTCTCTCTCTTTCTCTCTCTCACGCCATTGAAGCATTCGAATTTAAGATTCAGGCTATCCCAGATTACAAAACCCTAATCCCATCCCATGTGATCCATTCACGGGAGATTAGTCCCCAATCTCAATCCTTAATCTGCCATGAATTTACACTGATTTCCAGAAAACCCACAATATTTCTCATTTCCAGTCTCTGCAAATCGCACAATTTGTAGAGGGAGAGAGAAATGCCAAGCGTAGCTGTTAAGCTCTACAGCGTGTTCTTCAAGTTCCTCTTGAAGCACCGTTTGCAGAATCGGATCCAAACCCAGCCCGAAGAGTTCAACCCTTTCGGCGTCACGTCCCGACCCGAAGAAACAATCGCCTCACCCAATCCTCTGTTTGACGACGGCGTTGCCACCAAGGACATCCACATCGACCCCTTCACTTCTCTCTCTATCCGAATCTTCCTCCCCGAGTCCGCTCTCAACCCACCCGAAACCGCTTCCAAGTCTAGGGTTACCGCTACCCCTAAACGATCCGATCTCAATCAGGGATCCAACCAAACCGATCCGGCCCGCCAGAGCCTGAACAATTTACCCGCCACCCCTTCTCGGCGCAACAGCTATGGCAATCCGACACTGTCCAATTTGGCGAAAAGCGAGCAGAGAAGGAACAGTTACGGGTGTAGCACTGACATAGAGAGTATGAATTTGATGGCGAACGCTGGCGTGGGAGTGTACAGAGGCTACTCGCCGGCCAATTTGACCAAGAACGGTCGAAAATTGCCGGTCATGTTGCAGTTTCACGGCGGCGGCTGGGTCAGTGGCAGCAATGACTCTGTGGCCAACGACATCTTCTGTCGGCGGATTGCAAAGCTGTGCGACGTCGTCGTTTTGGCGGTGGGTTATCGGCTTGCGGGCGGATTGCAAGGCTGTGCGACGGCGTCGTTTTGGCGGTGGGTTATCGGCTTGCGCCGGAGAATCGATACCCAGCGGCGTTCGAGGACGGGTTGAAGGTGTTGAATTGGCTTGGGAAGCAGGCCAATTTGGCTGAGTGCAGTAAGTCCATGGGAGGCGGACGGAGCACTCTCGGCGGCGTTACCGAGTTTAAGAAGGCCGATTCTCATCGGCATATCGTGGACACTTTTGGGGCTTCAATGGTTGAGCCTTGGTTGGCTGCCCATGGAGATCCAACGAGGTTATAATCTTCTTCTAATTGCAACGTCACTATTATTATATTTAGATTCTAACTGGAATTTCTAATCTAGTGTGTTATGATTGATGATGATACATGAGTTTACAATTCTTGGTTCAGTTTGTGGATATTGCTGTAATATGATTTTCATGTTTGCATTGCTAGTGTTCAAAGTTTATAGGCATTTCTTTGAAGTTTATCAGATCCATGGATTGATTTCTTGTAATAGGTTGCGAGTAGCTGAGTTTGCATACTAGTTTCATTTCCCAACTAAAAATAATTGTTTAGGCTGGTTGCTGGTGGTGGCAATGCTTTAGTGTTTGAGTTAATTTCCATCTGAGGACTTCAATTAATGTCCACAGAGGCTGGGTCGATGTGCACTTGTGCGCATATAATAGATATAGATAAGTTAATAGGGCTAATTTCAACTTAGAGTGGCAAGGTATTGGTGGATGACTGGATTTTATCTTTCCATAGAGTTTTGATAAGCTTGGTTTTCTTCTAAAATATTTATGCTTTCGGTTGGCCTGTCTGATACCTTGATCTGCTATATTAGATTACATGCTGGATTCATGTAGTTTAAGAGAAGACGCAGTTATCATTTTCCTCATAAGTTGTTGCTAAATCTCAAGATTTCTTGATGACAAAAGTCAATAGTTTATGCAAGCAGGAGGGGTTGGAGTGGGATTTGTCTATGTTGATATAAGATAATCTTTGCTTTCTTGAAACTACTTCTATAATGTCTCAACCATAAACATTAAACTTTTAGCATAGCAGAACAAATGATCATATAAGGTCTTGATTAAGGCCTTAATATATGTTCCTATGCTTTCATGGGTTGACTGTGGTTCCAGTTATCTTTAAACTGAAAACCATTTTGCCTGCATTATTTATGCATTGAGCACTAAATATGACTTAGTTCTCTACATTTTCTCATTCTGTATATTAGTATCTTCTGTTTGTTTTTGCTTTCCATTTCTGGAAATTACGCTGTAAGCAGGCTACATTGCCCAATTTCTAACTTGCTTTGATGTCATAAACAGATGTGTTCTCCTTGGTGTGAGCTGTGGTGCTAACATTGCAGACTATGTGGCTCGGAAAGCTGTAGAGGCAGGCAAGCTTTTGGACCCTGTCAAGGTGGTTGCACAGGTGCTGATGTATCCGTTCTTCATTGGAAATGTCCCCACTCATTCTGAGATAAGATTAGCAAACTCCTATTTCTATGACAAGGCAATGTGCATATTGGCATGGAAACTATTCTTACCTGAGGAAGAGTTTAGCTTGGACCACCCAGCTGCCAATCCCCTCATCCCAGACAGGGGGCCACCTGTAAAGCTCATGCCTCCGACCCTTACAGTGGTGGCAGAACATGATTGGATGAGAGACCGTGCCATTGCTTACTCAGAGGAGCTCCGGAAGGTAAACGTTGATGCACCTGTGCTGGAGTATAAAGATGCAGTTCATGAATTTGCAACCCTTGATATGCTTCTCAAGACCCCTCAGGCCCAGGCCTGTGCAGAGGACATTGCCATCTGGGTCAAAAAATACATCTCACTTCGAGGTCATGAGTTCTCATATTAGGTAGGAGACAACACACCCGATTGATGTTGCCACACGGTATAATCGGCTCTGCCCTGTGTATTCTGTTAGAAACTGAGCAAGAGAAAACCAGTATGCTGCCATTACCTGGGAGGCTGGGATGGATACTATATATTGTTTAGTTGGTTTCTGCAACCTTTAGCACTTGGGTTGTTTCAGTTTCAAATTTACTTCTCGTGACCTGTCATGTTCTGTGTTATTTGTAAGATAGAGAAGTCGCCTGAGAGTAGGATTTAGATGATGAGCCTGTGAGATGTACCCGCCTTTTTTCTAACAGGAGCGCCACATTCGGACGTTCTTGTGCCATTTTTTCCCTGTGCATTACAATGTACTGTTTCTTATGAATAGAGTTCAATTCTATTAATCAAATGCTCTCTCACTGTCTCTCTCTTTCCCTATTTTCAATGAAGAGTTCTCTGTCTATGCCTTGTTCTGATGTTTTAGGCAGAAAGGCTTTTGGGATTAAAAGTTCAATTTGCTGTTTTTGTTGTGAGCATTTGCTTGCTGTCCATCCACCATTTACCAATATTCTTAAAATACTTACGAATTTTAAATTTTCCTCTTTTTTCCTTTGTTTTTTGTTCTTAAACATTTTTGTTAGCTATATAGTAGTGGACGGTGAAGGAAGAGACAAGTGGTGAAATTCCATTCCAAATACTAGGAGTCAAGTTTTTATGTGAATCGAAGCGAAAGCTATGTTTTCTCGATTTCCTAAGTCGACATTGATTTGCGCTTGTGTTGTCCACGTGTCGGTGTCGGGAAAAACACAACTTCTTCTTTCTCGTACTAATAATAACTAGGCTTTCGGATTTGAATCAGGGGATTTAATTACATAATTAATTTTAATTAAGCGACGCACACAAAGATTATTTAGCCCGTTTTTACGGCTACAATAATTTTCGCTAATGATGATTTACTACTTCACATGTTACTTAACTAACTTTTGCTACTTCTTTTTTTCAAATTAAAGTTCGAGCTTATGTATCTATATCTTTTTATAGAAAAAAAATTAAAAATTAAAACTTTTCCTTGAGGAATCCGGCCAATCCCTTTCCACCCGATCCGACCCGTGAAAGTGGTTTCTCTGTTTCTTTCTACTTTCTATTTTGGGCTGGTGTTTGAGATGTGGGTGCTCCTTCTCTCTCTAATCTGAATTCTAAGCTGCATCAGCTAACCTCTCCTTTGCATCTCCGATCCGGTAAGCCCTCGGTGTTGCTCTTCAGCTCCTTTTATCAGATCCACTGCCTCATCTGTAAGTATTTTCAATCCAGCTTTCTCTCTCTCTCTCTCTCTCTCTCTCTCTCTTTTTATATTTAAAGTTCTACAACGGATCTCCCCTTTTATTATATTTAATGCATCTTCTTCTCAATTATTGTGCAAACTGGTTCTGCTTTTTGAGCAACTCAGTTCATTAATGGTTTAATTTATTTTCTTTTTTGGTTGATTAATTAATGTTTCAAATTTGTTCTACAAGGAAAGTAAACATTGAATTGTGGGTGAATGCGGAGAATCGGGCAATAGATTTTGGTTGGTCTCACAAGTCGTGACAATGCAAGTGCAAGGCTTTAGAGCTAAATCCAGAGTAGCACTTCTCGTCGTCTTCGTCTTATGTGTTTGTTTCGCGGGGTTTTATGATTTGTTAAAGCCCGTTTCAAATGGATGTACCATGACGTACATGTATCCCACTTACATTCCTATCCCTACCACGACTGCTGTTTCACCGGCAAAGTACGGCTTGTATTTGTACCACGAAGGATGGAAGAAGATTGATTTTAAGGAGCATCTCAAAAAGCTAAGCGGCGTTCCCATTCTTTTTATTCCGGGAAATGGCGGTAGCTACAAACAGGTAAGGAACCTCCTTGTTCTTTCTGCTTTCCACGCAGTTGGGAATTGTTGATGTCTCATTGAAATGCTCAATTTTGTATTTTTGTTGGCGAATTTGTCAGGAAGATTGTATCTTTTTGACAATGGAATCTTGTTTATTGCAAATTTACTATTTACAGGTACGTTCACTGGCAGCAGAATCTGACAGGGCATATCAAGGGGGACCCCTAGAGCGTACATTTTATCAGGAAGCTTCCCTAACTCCTGAAGAGGGTGGGGAGGAGATAGATGTAGCTTCCTTTCAGTTACCCAACCAATATGATTCCAGGTTGGACTGGTTCACAGTGGATCTTGAAGGAGAACATTCTGCTATGGATAGTGCTATACTTGAAGAACATGCAGAATATGTTGTCCACTCCATTCACAGGGTCTCTCTCTCATTATTTTCTTCCAATTGCATACAAATATGACATCTTTGATCTTTTAATGCATCATATTACATTTTCTGAATATTGCCTTAAGAGGTAGTGTTATCAAGAATTAAATGACACAGAAATATGACATGCGCTTCTCTATGTTGGATTTCCGGTGGAACAACATTCAACAGAATGTGTTTTATAATGTCATTATCTATATTTAAGTTCCACGTTTCAGATAGTCCAAATGCTTGTTTTCATCCTCTACATGATCCAATCCCATCCAATGGGTCACAGAAACTGTCAACTTTAACCAAATAACAACAATTGGTGTTGTATGCTTTGGTAAAAGAAAAGGGCTTTACTGCGCATGACCATGTTGTCAATTTTTCTCCCCTCTTGGCACTGCCCAGTCTTTCTTTTCTTGATGACGTTTAGGCTTGTGGTTTATTCAGTTTTCTAGAGGAATGTTTCTTTTCACAAATTTTTAGTTTGTAAAATGTTTGACCTACAACCTCGCGTGCAGATTTTGGATCAATATAAAGAATCTTATGAGACTAGAGAAAGAGAAGGTGCTGCAACCTCTGGGAGTTTGCCAAAAAGTGTAATATTGGTTGGTCACTCTATGGGTGGTTTTGTTGCTAGAGCGGCTGTTGCCCATAACCGTTTGAGGAAATCAGCAGTTGAAACGATTCTTACTCTCTCCAGCCCACACCAGTGAGTTTGTGGCTCTTATAATGGCTCTTACTTTCAAAGTGAATGCATTAATTAGTGTTTGATGAAATTTACCTATTTTATTCAGATACCCTCCTGTGGCATTGCAGCCTTCCTTGGGTCACTACTTTGCACACGTTAATCATGAATGGAGAAAGGGATATGAGGTCCAAACAACTAGAGCAGGACATTATGTGTCTGATCCTGTTCTCTCACATGTTGTTGTTATATCCATTTCTGGTAGTTACAATGATTATCAGGTAAATACGTTTTTGCATTGCTTTCTGCAGTATGCACTGGCTGTCAACAAGAATATTGCGATGTTAAACTGAAAGGACCACTGTATACACTTCTTTTTTGCAAAATTGAAATATGTCTTGCATACTATAATTGAGAAATTTGCCTATATGTTGCATATGGACTCTCATTTTATATAGGTACTGATATTAAGTTGTTGGTTTGACATAATAAGAAGGAACTTCATAGTTTACTGAAGATACTGTAAGGGTATTGTAGTTTTGTGTTAATGTGGGTTTGCAGTATTTTGTTGTTCATAACTTCATTTGTACATAGACATCTCCGTGTGTATAGATATATTGTGTTTACTCTATTATAAATTCTTTTTGACTTTGTCTCTTTTCAAAATAAAATAAAAATGTACCTTGACTTTGTGGGTTCTTTTTAACTCTTGTTTTTGTCTTTAGGTGAGGTCCAAGTCGGAATCCCTTGATGGCATTGTGCCTTCCACTCACGGTTTTATGATCAGTAGTACAGGCATGAGAAATGTGTGGTTGTCAATGGAACATCAAGCTATTTTATGGTGTAATCAATTAGTTATCCAAGTAAGTGGAAGTAACTTTTTGAAGCCAGATATAATTATCATACAGACAGTTCTGAATACATATGCTCTTATCTAGGTATCACACACTCTCCTTAGTTTGGCAGACTCCAGAACAGGCCAGCCATTTTCTGACAAACGAATAAGACTTGCGATATTCTCTAAAATGCTTCGTAGTGGGATACCACAGAGTTTCAATTGGATGACGCAATCACACTTGTCTCAGCAGTTGTTACATGTTCCTTCTAGAGACGTAAAAGATAAAACTGGTAATGTACATTTTCATTTTGTCTTTGTGGGAACTCCATTATATTCCCCTTTAAAGTTTTCTAAAGTTTTGAATCTGTTTATTATGGTGCTGGTAGCAATGTTGACAAAAAAAAAATAGTCATGAATGTTAATTTGATGATTTGTCTCTTCTATGTTTTGTGTAATATGATACAGAATCGCTGTACACTTCCGCTGCATGCCCTAGCAATGTTCATTGGAGTGAGGATGGCCTTGAGAGGGACCTATACATTCAGACAACCACCGTCACTGTTTTAGCCATGGATGGTCGAAGACGGTGGTTAGACATACAAAAACTGGTTAGCATCAGCAAAGCTTCCATCCTGTATCTTGATACTGAAATTATTGTGAACTTACTCTCAAGCGTATTGGGTTTTGAAGCATTACAAATTAGTATTTAACTTTCATATATTCTTTTTGTTCTTGTCACACTGATAGCCCTTGTTAAGTTTCTTTAATTTTTTGAATTTCCTATTCCTGATAGTGCTCAGACTTTAATCCATATGTGCAGGGGTCAAATGGAAGAAGTCACTTCATGTTTGTGACAAACCTTGCTCCATGTTCTGGGGTTAGACTTCATCTGTGGCCTGAAAAAAGAAACTCAACTTCAGAATTGCCTGTGTGTATAAGAATCGTCGAAGTGACATCAAAGATGGTGCGCATTCCATCAGGACCAGCACCAAGACAGGTATTTAATGTTGCATTCATGACAATGATTTTAACGGGATTGCATTTATTAATAGGTTCATTTTGATGGTATTATATGTGACTTCTGAACTTTGATTAGACTTTCTTTATCTTGATTTGATCAAAATTTGTCACACTACATGAAAGAGTGATGTTCAAATTATGCTGCTACTCAGATTGGTTGCACTGGCACATTTAATGGCTGATGCTATCTGCATGCTCTTAATTGTGGAAATGCTCTGTCTTATTAGATTGAACCTGGAAGCCAGACAGAGCAAGCTCCTCCTTCTGCTATATTTAGCTTGGGACCTGAGGATATGCGTGGTTTCAGATTCCTGACCATCTCAGTTGCACCTCGTCCGGTATTGTTTCTCCTCAATTTTTCATTCTAAAAAAGTTTTGTTGGGATGGGAGTTTAGTGTTTATTGTTGGTTTGTTTGTTATGTGCTTGTAGTAGGCTTTGCCTAGGTGGATGTGTTGTCATCTCCTTTTGTATTTTTGTTCTATTCTCTCTCTCTCTCTTAATAAAAAAGTACGTGGTTTGGCTTATGTTGAATAATACTTCCACTCTCTCGCTAAATGGGATATTTCAAGTGGTTTTG